CTTCTTTTGTATTCCAACTACTTCTTTTGTATTCCAACTACTTCTTTTGTATTCCAACTACGTTAATATATATTCACATGACTTGAAAAAATCTTATGAATCCCTAGGTAGTAGTTGATGCAGTGCTTGCAATAAGAAAGCCTGGTACACCAATAGATCTACACATGGTTGAAATTATGGAAATGAAACACAAAACAGATACAGATAGTCAGTAAGTTAATAAGATTCCTATGCTAAAATTAAGGGTACAGTGTGACACATTACCATGACAACTATATAATGATTAATCCCATATGGATGGACTACTTTGTACATGTATAATATATACCTTCAGAAAATAATGTTCACAATTTAAAATAATGTCATTCGCTAGAGATTGCAAAATTCTTTAGTGACTAGTGTTACGTGTATTTTTATTTATGATCCTCGAATTATGGAGTCATTTTTGAAATGTGAAAAAAGTTTATGAAAAGAAAGAAAAATGAAAATGTTTTCATTTGAAATATATTTGGCCAGATTCCTAAAGTCAAGTTTACCTCTTTGTTCACTTCATTGGAGTGATCGGTAATTTTGTTGTAATATACACCTATCTTAGCATGTTTCCAAACATTGCCTTCACTTAGGAAGTGTTATTTGGTGCTTTCCACTGAGCCTTAGAAATCCCAGTAGGCTTAGGTGTTTGGCTTAGGTGTTTCTTGGAATACCACACCCACTTATCTGATTTTTCTCTTTTCAAAACTAGATTGGTAAAAGGTCTTGTTATGGACCATGGAGCCAGACACCCAGACATGAAGAAAAAGACCACAGACGCCTTCATCTTGACATGCAATGTTTCCTTTGAATATGAGAAGAGGCAAGAATGACTGAYGGACAGACAAATAGCCATGATGTTTGGCATAATGCTTTCCCATTTCAGACCATGTGTCATTCCCTAGAGTATCATTTCTTTGTTTAATGGTTGCCCATGAGAAGACACATGAATATGGATACAGCTCAAACAAAGAATCTTATTCTTTAGAAAATGACACATGGTCTGAAATGGAAAAACATGCCGCTAAAAAGGTCTATTCAGAATTCATATTTTGTATACTTATTTATGATTTTTTAATTTGATACACTGGTAATCCTTATTTCATTTCTTTTGTCTTGTGTGATAGTGAGGTGAATGCAGGTTTTTTCTACAAGTCTGCTGAAGAAAGAGGAAAACTTGTTGCAGCTGAAAGAAAGTTCACTGATGACAAAGTGCAGAAAGTTATTGACTTTAAGAAAAAGGTGAGGGTTTATTGTTCACAAATATTTTTATCATTATCATCTTCATCATCACTATCACCACTTCTATCATCATCATCATCAACCTCATCCTCATCATCATCATCATCACAATCACCACCATCATCAAATTCATCAGTATCATCTTCGCAATATTCACTATCCCCACCACCACTGCTATCAGCATCATCATCATCATCATCATCATCGCCATCATTATAACAATCACCATCATCACCCTCACTATCAGTTCACTATAATCACCAGCATCTTTGCCATTTTCACCATCACAATTGTCTTCTTAATTCACAAATTTATTTGTGTTTCTTTGACAGGTCTGTGAAGGTACAGATAAAGGATTCGTTGTGGTCAACCAAAAGGTATATTCTACCATTTTCGTAATGATTCAGTCTGACTACTAACCAAATTATCAGGGGGACCATTGCTCCCCCTACCCCCCCTTTCCCCCCACNCACCCCCCCCCCTTGACCAATGACTGTACCTTGCATGTTCTATTGTAGTCATGGATTTAATCTTGATCTTGATCATTTTTCAGGGCATAGATCCCTTCTCGTTGGACATGTTTGCTAAGGAAGGGATTGTTGCAATTCGAAGAGCAAAGAGAAGGAATATGGAAAGGTACCATTTCATTCTATTATTCTCATATTTTGTTCTACTTGGGGTGATCGCTATTGGTAGAAAGAAGCTTGTTTTGAAATAATCCACTTTTCTCTCCCGGTAGATGTGTGTGCCATTTTTTGAAAGTCGAAGTTTCCCGCTCTTTTCTTACCATTAGCAAATAAATTTCCAACCAGATGGATTGGTTTGAATAGCAAGCACCCTGTTCTTCACCACCATTTGGAGCAGTTAATAAAGTTTTGATTCTTATTTTAATGGTGCATCTTTTTAACAGGATTCCTTTAGCATGTGGTGGATTAGCTGTAAATTCAGTGGATGACTTGACTCCTGATGTGCTGGGATTTGCTGGATTGGTGTATGAGCATGTACTTGTGAGTAGTCTTTATTTTTGTTTTACTTTTTGGGTGAAACACAAAGGATACAAAAGGGCAGAGGTTCCAATCAAAGGCTCTCTGTGAATGATGCTCATCTAAATCTCCAGAATTAATGAATGAATGATGGAAAGAATGAATGAATAAATGAATTATGGAAAGAATAAAAGAATGAATAAATAAATGAATGAAATTGGATGGATGGATGGATGGATGGACAAGAGAAAGGACAAAAAAAGAATGAATAAGAACAAGAGAAAGAGCAAAGAATGAAACAATAAAAGAATGAATGGATGGATGAATAGATTAATCAAATTTGTTCATCTTTTACATTGTTTTCTTTTCAGGGTGAAGACAAATACACCTTCATTGAGGAAGTGAAAAACCCACAGTCTGTCACAATCCTTATCAAAGGTTAGATTTTTTTTACTTTTCTTGTATTTAAAAGCTACAACTGATTGCTTTTTCACTAAGAGACAGGAGTTCATACTAAAGATACTAGTGGGAGCTGCCTTGGTGTACAAAGCATATGTAATGGAAATTATATCATTTGTATGAACCAAGAAGTTAAGTTACGGACAGACAGACAGACAGAATGACTGAACAACCAATCTACTGACAGACGAATTTCCTGACTATTATATATTGATGTTATCATTGATGTTTTCGTCTTTGTTTTAAGGGCCAAACAAACACACACTGACTCAAATCAAAGATGCCATTCGTGATGGGCTTAGGGCTGTCAAGAATGCAATAGAAGATGGTAAGAAAAGTCGTCAACCTAGAGTATTATGGCATCAAATATCGGGTTTTGGTGTTTGATCTCTTTGGCAAGGTGCTGTAATGGGCAACAAAGACATACAACATGCTACGTTAAATTACTGTGTTGCAGATTTCAGAAGAAATGCTTTTCATATTTCCACCCTGTGCACAACAAATTTTCTTTGTCACACAAAGTAGGAGTTTAGTTCTGTTAACTCTTTGCGACATGTAAACTTTGAAGCACAGCCAACAAAACGAATTCCCTAGAAGCTCCCTACCGCTATGCTACCATGGATACTCATGATTGTCTGACTCATGGATGAAGCTATTTGTTGGTCAGTTTTGATCTCTGATTTTGAAATTTCATAGGTTCTGTAGTCCCTGGAGCAGGGGCCTTTGAGATAGCAGTCCATGCTTCTTTGGTTGAGTTCAAGAAATCAGTCAAAGGAAAAGCAAAACTTGGAGTTCAGGCATTTGCAGATGCTTTGTTGATCATCCCAAAAACCTTGGCAAAGAACTCTGGCTTTGACTCCCAGGAAACGATTGTTAAGCTACAAGAGGAGTATGCTGGTAGTAATACACCCGTGGGTGTGGATTTGTCTAGTGGAGAGGCACTTAACCCTGCTGATGCTGGGATATGGGATAACTATCGTGTCAAAAGACAGTTATTGAATTCTTGGTACGTGAATCTATTCCTCCATACTTCAACCCATCTGATCACCCCACCCTTCAAGCCATCCAATCACCCCACCCTTCAACCCATCCATTCACCCCACCCTTCAACCCATCCATTCACCCCAACACCCCATTATCCACCCATTCACATCAATTCTTAACAGCTCTCATTCTTTATTGCTTTCACAGCACTGTTATTGCCGGTAATCTACTGCTGGTTGATGAAATTATGCGAGCCGGGATGTCTTCTCTCAAAGGCTGATGAGTGTAATTCTGTGTTCTGTTCATAGTACTACTGATGTGTGCATGAAGATGGTGTGAAGCGTCAATCAAGCTTATAGAGCACTTTACACATTACTTTTCACCAGTGAAAACTACTAGTGAAAAGCGATGTGTAGTTCGCATTTTAACCGATTCTCGCGTGGCATTTWAAAAAAACATCGTTCAGAATGCATATCAGTGCGTTAGAATCATTGATTAGCACATTAAAAATATTTTCTTTCAAGTCTATTCCATCCCGGTGTAGTTTTATCTCTATAAGGGCCATGTCTAGGAAAATATATGCCCCTAAATATTTCTGTGTGCTAGCGTGAAGTCAAGTGTCCCAAATAGGCCATTTCACGGATCCTGTTACTCAACCTCGGCCTCTTCAGCGTGTAATTATTCTTTAGAATTTGACTACAGTCCGCAGTAATGTAAGGAATTTACACATCAACGAACAATTGAAACACTTAAAAATTTCACAGGTTGTAGGCAATTTCTAAAGACTATTACACGCTGACGAGGCAGAGGTTGAGCCGCGGGATCTGTGAAATGGTCTATTGTACTCTGTAGAGTCCCGATTAAGTCGCTCTTTTTTTTTAGTGTATTATAAACCAAAAATCGCACAATCTTCTCATAGAGTTCGGAATTTATAGATACTCATGTGTTGAAAGTTCTTCAATCGGACTCACCTACTCGTAACTATAAATTCCGAATTGTACTGTACGATTTCCTATACAATCGAACCGTATCGAAATGCCTGATTCGTTCATATACTTTATTGCGTTCCATACAGTGTAGATTTACATGGTTATCCTCTCCACCTTCGACTAAAAAAAGTAAAACGATGTTTTAGAAAAAAAACCATTTCGCGAATATTAGTTTATTATTACTATGGTAACGCCTATTCAAACGTTTTGTGCGTCACATGGTGACGTCAATGCCAATCGCTGGCCGAAATAAGAAGTGGGACATGAGTCTTTTCAGAAATCAGTAAGATTCCGACACAGCATCATAATGTTGAGCACAGACACTGGATTAGCAGGAGGTGAGTTGTTATCGACGATTTCAATTCTTACATTCTTGCCACAGCTTAGTGTCGCTGAGTTGCAACCAGGGAATTAGATAGTATATGAAACACTTATAGTAACATTTTCCAAAAATGAGAGATCGGAGAGATGATACTAACCCGTAAAATAGCCGATACTTGGCCCGTTCGTTGTTAGCTCATTTCCTTGTGTTCAATTACTATAATGTTAAATCTCGAGATTTTGTCATTACGCACAACATTATATGAGTTATGATTGTGATTTCTGGACGCCAATTGTACTTTCAATGTTGAATGCGCTTTAAATGCGATTTAGATCATTTCTCAGGGCGCTTTTGGAATAAAGAGGAGAGGAGGATATAAAAATTTTCCATAGATGCTCGGTAAATAATTATACCCTTGGGGACTTTTGGCGTGGAATTTCAAAAATTACAGTTTCTTTTACAGCCTAAGCTACACAAATTGAGAATTAAAAATATTTTCGCAATAAAGAAAGAACTCGGAAAAAGAATAAAAAAGGAATGAAGAGAACGAAAGAAATAGGAAAAGAGGTACACGAAGGAAGGAACAAGATTTTCCATCAAGCATCACGTTTTTTATCTTCAAGCGCAAGACACGTGTTCATCGATTCCCTGTATCTATCTCTAAAAAATTTTTAAATCTCATAAAAGACAATGAGTTTTTTTTTTAAATTTATCTACCACTTGGAGATTTTTTCTATTCTTTTTCTTATTCTGAAGAAAGCTTTTGCTTGTCAACTGACGTTTCAAGTTTGCCGTTGACTATAGAGTGTTACTCTCTATGTCCAGAATAGTGAGTACATTTAAACGTCCATATAAGAAGAAAAGTAAAATATGTTTGAGGTCTTTCTCAAATAAAAACTACGCGTTGCTGTATTTCTTTTTCATGTGTTGTTACAAAGATAACCTGGAGTCGGGAGCAGCACGAACTAACAAAGACAGGCCGCCACCATCTAGTTCTGAAGAAACGGCACAGGCGACAGTAGAGGGCGAAAGTAGTTCTCTAAGGATATCGAGGTAAGATGAAAATTTGATTCAAAGCAAAGCGTTTTATTATTTTAATTCTTTTAATTTCAGCGTGGCGGGAAAAAATTATCAATTTTGTTCAGCATCGAAAACTCCCAGGCTAAAATTTTCACTAATCTGATTTTCATAATCATAATAGAGTCGTATCATCCTCAAATACTTTAATTAAGTGCCCCTTTAAGGTGTCTCTATTCAGTAAATTGGAACCGTTTGATTCCATTTTTAACGAAATTTCAGTAGCTTTCATTAGTCAGAAATGTCATTAGTCTTAGATCAACGTTTATTAATGATGCCAAGACTTGCGATGAATTTAAAATAAACCTTATACTATGACAAAGAAAAAATAGAAACATTATTAAACTCGGTTTAAATGCTTTTAATTTGTAACCGATCCAGATGAGTTCCACAATAGCGGATACCAGCAAAGAAAGAAGAAAATGAGTTGAAAAATTCTGCGTTTGATTTTAAGTAAACTTCAAACTAACCGGCTTGATTTTGGGCGTTGCAGCTTAATCACTCATCTTGGCCGCTTAAGACGGCTCTGCTCTCACATACTACTAATTACAAAAACACCTTTTTTTTGAAAAAGTCTTGATAAAATTTTCCCCCAAGAGACGTCATCAGCATCCGATTTATGGACAAAAAGACTTATTGTATTTGTATTGAAAGATCTTGTTTTTATGCGGTTTGCAGTTCCCCACGCCAAAATTGACTCTTAGTTCCAATTTCTTCTGGCGTCGAGATCCAGAACTTAAGGGATCGAGTGTTTGGAGTCCTAGACTCGGTCAATCAAAGACAGACATTTCTCTCTCGCCGGCTTATTGACGTCACAGAGAGCAGCTTGGACGGCAGAGAGCATTCAACCTTTCTAAGAGAAAATGAACTCTTGATCTTCCGACTCGATTCACAGGGAAAGCGGAGCTGCCGGCCCTTCCCCTCCCCCTTCCCCTCCCCCCTCCCCCTTACCCTCAATAGTTTTGCCGCCATATTTTAAGTTTGAATTACTTGTTTGCCATTTTAAATATATCAATAGCCAATGTAATAAAAATGTGATAATACCCCCCTAGGTGCTTCCGCCTTCGGCTGTCAGTACCAATCCCCCCCCACACACAATCGAAATTACGCTCCGCGGTCCCTGATTCAATCGCCACACATTCATTTATTTATTTATTTTTCATTTAAATTTCAATTTTTTTAGACCATCTGTAATTTGTTCACTTGAGAGTGAAGATAGAACCTTGACCACGACAAGTAGGAGAGTCTCTTATCTACCTTTGATTAATCTCCAAGATTCCTTTTGTTTGCCGGCAGATCAACCGGTCCAGACAGTAGACGTATTTTGCTGGAAAAATCAGCAACAACTTTTTCCAAAGACAGGAGAGCTTCATCGGCCATTTGACAACATTTGCAGGCGAGGTGATTGTGAGGCGTCCGTGAACTGGGAGAGGTGTAATAACAAGTACTATTGCACAACTGGATCTTGTGTTAATGATCAGTACTGTATGTGGCATCCTCAGTTCGAGCGCGTTCATTGGCTCCCTTGTTGCTGTATTTCAGCTACGTCACAGGGCTACCGCCACGTGACAAACATGCGAGCCAATCAGAAAAGCGTCTATTTTTATCAGTCGCGTCGTTCAGAAGAAACGCTTAAAGGAAGTGAGTGGCATTGCAAACAGTTGGATGGAGCAAACAGTTCTCTTATCGATGACCGAAACTCGAAAAAGCCTCGTAAGGATGGGGATGGGTCCTCGATCTCTAGTAGTGAGGATGGTTGTGATAGTGGCGGCTGCAATACCATGTTATTTGGTCAAAATGTAAGAAAAAACAAGGATACAACACAGGAGGATAGGAAAAGAACCATCCATCAGCCCTGTCTTGATAAACCACGTCAAAGAGAAGGAGGAAGTATTGCGTTCAAGCAAAAAAGTGAGGAAGCGAACGCACATCCTCCACCATGGCCGCGTGGAAAGAAAACCATACGTCAGGCCTGTCATGGTGAACCACGTCAAACAGAAGGAGGAAGTATTGCGTTCAAGCAAGAAGGCGAGGAAGCGAACGCACATCCTCAACCATGGCCGCGTGGAAAGAAAACTATACGTCAGGCCTGTCTTGGTGAACCCCTTCAAGCAGAACGAAGGAGTATTGCGTTTAAGCAAGAAGGTGGAAACCCAAGTGAATCACCGCGACAAGATGAGAATGCCGCGTTTAAGCCAAAACACGAGGATGATGACGGAGATGAAGACAACAGCAGTGATATCGCCATTCCTTCATCGTTCAAGGAGAAATCTTCAATTTGTGTTTCACGCACTTCAAGAATAAATAGTGGTCCATCTTCTTGGAATCACACGTCGAAGAGAAATACCATTACCAGTACAACGAATCAAGGTGAAGCTACGGAAGGTACAGTGTGTCCAGTGTGCAACAAGAAGCTGAAAAGATCCTATTATTTGAAGGTAAATATGAAGAACAACAATAAATGACCCGAATAATAACAACAACAAAAGTAATCGAACAACAGAAAAAACAAACGACATCAACAACAAAGAATGACAAAAAACAAAACTAAAAGCAAACAGCATTAACAACATGAACAACAAAACAATATTAATAGCAAAATTAGCAACATCAAACAACAACCGCTTGATCTTTAAATCATAACCTCGACAACAACAACTTGAACAACAAACAATATGAACATCAAACAGCAACAACAACAAAAAACATTTTCATCATATAACAACAACAACAACTTGCCAATTAAACAGCAGATTTCACATTATTTTTCTATGTACTCGAATTACTTTTTTTACGTTCAGAGCCACATGCTAATCCACACTGGTGATAAACCATACAAGTGTGCATACTGCAGTAAAGCCTTCAATCAGATTGGAAACAGAAATGCCCATCAAAGAATCCACACTGGAGAGAAACCCTACGCCTGCGATTACTGTGGCAAGCGGTTTATCTTCAATTCCTCCAAGCACAACCATATGAAGGTTCACGGTATTTATTGTGAAACACCTACCCTTGATGAACCCGCTGAACCACCAAGAATATGAGACGAAAAGATGACTTCAAATGCCTTCATTATTCTCTTCAGGGGCGTAAGCAGCCCCCTTCCCCCCCCTCCCCCCCCCAAAAAAACTTAGACTAAA